TGTATTATTATTTACAAAACATTAGAATTGAAACAGAACCAGAGGTAAATATTTACTAGAATGACTTGGATAAAATCAACTTTGCACATCCTAAGTTCATGTTTAGATGAGTGAGTGGCTGGGTCACTAGGAATTGGACTCTCATTTATCTGACAGCGGCTCACTTGTCACCATCTATAGCTCTCTAAGACCTGGAGGGACAACTAAGCATAAGCAGGGTGGGGAGTTCTACTGACAGTCTGCCCTCCCTGCTAGAAACCTACCCACCATACTTTTGAATACAGCTCTGCACCCCAAATGCCACCCCAGGGTCCTGACAGGGGTCCAACATGGTTGGTGTAGTCCATGAAGAGCCTCCCTCCCTTATCAGCTGTGTCCTTCCTGCAGAGGAGAAATCCAACCCTGGAGAGAACCTTTCCCTGGGGCAGGGGGAAGCCAAGGGCGGCAGCCCCGGCGTTCCTTCTCCATGTGACTCCCTCCTTCCCTTTTTCTGGGACAGTTATAAAGAGTGCTCAGAGTTAACCACATATGAAAGTCCATCTTAAAAAACTGGTTCCAGGCTGGGCATGGTGGCCCACTCCTGAAATCCCAGCAATTTGGGAGGCTGAGGCAGGAGGATCGCAAATTCAAGACCAGTCAGCAAATTTGTGAGACCCTATCTCAAAAAGGGATGAGGATGAGTCCCGTGGGTTTATTCCGCAGTAGCACAAAACAAACAACAAAACCTGTCTGCTTCCGAGACCAGGACGGAGCAAACATGAGCCTGGCACTGCACAGGGTAGAAGCCAGGAGAGTTACAGCAAGAGAGGCTGTGGGAGAGTCGAGCCAGCCAGAGGCGCCCCTAGTGGCCAAGCCTGGAACCACATGAGCAATAAAGCCAGGGTACCTTCACAACAGAAGGCCTGCGGTGCCCTAAGAGCCTAGGAGAGATGGTTCTTCCTTACAAAAATGTTCCTTTAGATGAGATAGATATGAGGGGAACAGAAAGTCAACATTAGGCAGACACAGCAGTAGTAATTGCAGCAAGCAAGGTCCCCTAAGGGATGCCAAAAATAGTGGGAAACATTCCTGAGACGCATTATTTTCAGTTTCAAATATCTCTCCTGATACTTGTTTTTTTTGTTTGTTTGTTTGTTTGTGGGGTTTTTTTTTTGTGTGAATAAAAAGGAAAAATAGTAACTTTCAGTGTCAAATTTGATCCAAGTTTAAAACATCAATTTTGTGTTCCCAAAGACCACACACCAAGGACACAGGTGACATCTGTGCTATTCTTGCCCAGAATGTGTAACCTCATTCTAAGCATGGGAAACATCAGACGTGCCCTGTTGCAGAGCACTGCAAGATGGCTGAGCAGTGCCCCTAACGTGTCCCACTCCCAGAAGACAAGGGAATTGTGAGAAATTGTCCACACGGAGCTGCTTAGGAGACCCAGCAAGTAGAGGCAGCATGGGACCCCGGAGTAGCCCAGAACAGGAAAAGGACGGGGAGGAGAACTGGCAGTCTATGGTTTAGTTGACAGGACTGTGCCAGAATTGAATTCCTGGTCTTGATGTTGTGCCTTGGTTACATAAGATGTTAGTATTAGGAGAAGGTGAGCAAAGAGTAGATGAGAACATGCTGTTACTTCTGCTTTGTTTTTGCACCAGGGATTGAACCCAGGGATACTTAGTCACTGAGCCACCTCCACACCCTTTTTATTGTTTATTTATTTGTTTAATAACTTAAAAAAAAATGTGGTGCTGAGGATCAAACCCAGTGCCTCACGTGTGCTAGGCAAGTGCTCTACCACTGAGCCACAACCCCAGTCCTTATTTTTTATTTTGAAACAGGGTCTTGCTAAATTGCTTAGAGCCTCGCTAATTTGCTGATCCTTTCAATTTGTAATCCTCCTGCTTCTGGTCCCAAGCTGCTGGGATTACAGGCTTGTGTCACCATGCCCAGCACTTTTACAATGTTTATGTTAAAAAAAGTCTAAAAATTGTTTCAATATAGAATATATATGTATAAATGTGTGCGTACACACACATATATACACACAGATAGACACACACATACATACATACATACATGTACATACAGGTGGGTTTGATTAAACAGAAAACTTGTCACTCTCCTGGGCAGGGTGAGCAAGGACATCCGGCACTGGGCTGACCTCATGTCTCAGGAAGGTCAGGCTGGTGCCAGGCAGGATGGAGTTCCTTTGGTAGAGTCCCAGCTCTGAGCCCGACTCCACCAACTGTGCAAGAACAAATGCCCTGAGCAGGAACACATTTGGCAAGCCGGAGGGTCAGTAAGGAGGCCTGAGTCAGGGAACCTCTCCCTGGGCAAGAGGAAGATGGCAGGTTTGGGCAGGTGGCAGAGTAAGACGATGAGGCCTCATCGGGTCACGTTGCAGGAGACGCACTCACCTCCCAGATGCTCTCATTACCATCTTATTATTATTATTATTTTTTTTTAGGTTTCCCTTGAGAACCTGTGCAGCATTAACTAATGTACTGCACTTAAATCCCACCCATGTCCTCTGACCCCCGCATCCTTTCCTCAGCCTCTCGCAGTTCATGGTGGCTGGTGCCTGATTTGCATTTTCAGGGTCACTGTAACAGAACAGACCGAGAGTGTACCATTTCATGGTGTGCATGTCTGTTGATTCCAAAGGCCACAAGAGGGACCAGCAGTGTTTTCTGATTATGCCTTCCTGTGACTTTTATTTATTAAACAGCCCAGTGACCAATATCTTTCTCCCACTAAGCCTGGTAAACTTTTTTTAAAAATATTTTTTGTTAGATGTTGATGGATCTTTATTTTATTCATTGATTTTATATGTGGTGCTGAGAATCGAACCCAGTGCCTTCCACATGCTAGGCAAGCATTCTACCACTAAGCCACAACTCCAGCCCTAAGCCTGGTAACCTTAAAGACAAAGATTATACTCCACAAATCGTTCAAGATAATGCCAGAGTGTGGCTTGTTTTGTATTTGGACCAAAGTTTTCATCTTTAACTTTTTATTACTTACTGAATTTATGATTGCCTTGTGTGTGTGTGTGTGGGGGGGGGTGCTGGGATTGAACCCAGGACCTCACACATGCCAGGCAAGTGCTCTTCCATAGAGCATCACCCTGGCCCTATTTTCTTTTTTTCTTAGATAAGAGAACAGTGTGCTTTGTCATCTCCTCACATTTGTCCAGTTTCCTGTGCTAAATGATGCCCAGCACACCTGCCCTTCTCTGGAAAGTGTCCCTCTCAAAGCCCTCTGGACCTGCTGCCTTCAAAGCCCACTAACCTGCCATCGGGGGGCCAGCATAGGCTTCCAGGTGGGCCCAGTGCTTGGCTGGCCGGCTGCTTTCTCCATTCACGACTTCCCTCTGGATTGGCTGAGTGAGGTCAAAACATCTTGAGAAGGAACGTCTTAGATCCTTTCTCCTCTACAAATGAGTTTGGGTTTTGTCGCCTCGAGGGACTTCCTCCCTTTCTTTCTGCAGACTCTTTGTATCTGATGTGGAACATTCTGGACAGGTCCCTGACGTCTCTTATCAACTCTCATCTGATTTCTCTTTTTCTTCACTTCCTTCTTTCCTTTTCGTGATCTTTTTCTAGGTCCTAAAAGAGTTATTTGTCTTTTTTTTTTTTTTTTTTTAATCTTTTTTCTTTTTGGAGTCAAGGTCTGGCTCTATTGCCCAGGCTGGCCTTGAACTCCTGGGCTCAAGTGACCCTCCTGCCTCAGCCTACAACTGCTTTCGCCTCCCAAGTGGCAAGGACTCCAGACACCACAGCAGGTGTGTTTGTCTTTATTTTATAACCCCTTTGATTGACCCTTTTATTACCATCTTTTACTCTTTTAAAGTCTCTTCTCCTTTTAATCGACTTTATTGAAATTTAATGTACATGAAACGAGATGGTTCCAATTTAAGGTGCATATTTTGGCAAGTATATACAGTTGTGTAATCACAACCACAGCAAGACAGAGGACGTTTCCGTTACCCGAGAGGTTTTCTAGGCTTCCCCACCCTCAGCCTCAGCCCTGGGCAAACCCCAGATCTGCCTTCTGTCACTGTAAATCAGACTCAGCTCTCTAACTGTCACATCAGTGGGATCATGCAGCATGAGCTCTTGTATCTGAGTTTTGAGACACCCACGTCGCCTACATAATAGTTTGTTCCATTTTTATTGCTTGAGTGGTGTGCGCTGCACGGATTTGCCACAGTTTCCGTCTGCTTACCAGCCAAGGGACAGTTGAGTTTTCCAGTTCCACTTTGAGCAATGCTGTTTTAAGCATTTCTATGTATTAGTGTGGGCAGGCGTTTTCATTAAACTTGGGCAGTGTCATGGTTTAGATATGAGGTGTCCCTCAAAAGCTCACATGTGAGACAATGCAAGAATTTTCAGAGGTGAAATGATTAGATTACAAGAGGTATAACGCAATCAGTGAATTAAGCCCCTGATAGGAATTAACTGGGCGGTAACTGTAGGCAGGAGGGATCTGGCTCTGGGAAGTGGTTCACTGGGGACATGACTTGGGGGATTATAAGCAGAGCTAGCTCTCTGCTTCCTGTTACCATGTCCTGAGCTGCTTTCCTCTGTCACAGCATTCTGTCTCACCTCAGGCCCGAGCTATGGAGTCCATCCATCATGAACCTCTGAAACTGTGAGCCAGAATAAACTCTTCCTCCTCTATGTTGTTCTTGTCAGGTCTTTTGGTCTCAGTGATGCAAAGCTGACTAAAACAGGTAGCTAGGAGTGCGACTGCTGGATGACATGGTAAAAGTGTATGTTTTTGGAGGGTTTTTTTTGTTGTTGTTGGTTTGTTTCTTTTCTTTTTTCTTTTTTCTTTTTTTTTTACTGGGGATTAAACTCAGGGGCACTTAACCACTGAGCCACATCCCCAGCCCTATTTTGTATTTTATTTAGAGTCAGGGTCTCACTGAGTTGCTTACTACCTTGCTTTTGCTGAGGCTATCTTTGAACTCACGATCCTCCTGTCTCAGCCTCCTGAGCCGCTGGGATTACAGGAGTGTGCCACCACACCTGGCAGTAAGTATATGTTTAATATGATGACAACGTGCTGTTCTGTTCACCATCTGACATTCCCTCCAGGGATGTCTGAGGGTTCCAACTGCTCCAGATCTTTCCCTTCATTTGGCAATGAATGGCCAGTTGGTTAAACGTTAGCCCTTCTAGTGGGATGCAGTGGGCCCCCACATGCTCTGTGCTTCCATTGGGATGGATGATGATGAGCATCTCTATGTGCTCATTAGTTTTTGCTGTATCTTTGATGCAATGTCCATTTTTAACCTGTTTCTGAGCTGTGTTGTCTTCCTATTAGATTGTGAGTTCTTTGCACAGATGCTCTTCAATTTACAATGGGATTTTTTTTCAACAGACTCATTGTCATTTGGGAATACAGTCATGACCTCGACTACCAAATGCTTAACACTGCTCACTGTGGTGTCAATTGGTGCCAAGTGGGAGCCCGAATCAGGAGAGAGGATCTTACCACACACTGCCAGTCCAGGAGATCCGAACTGAACATCTGGTTTCCACTGGAAGTGCATTGCTCTTGTAAAGTGTTGTAAAGTTAAGCTGTCCTACATGGAACCATCCCACGTTGGGGACTCTCTGTATCCTCAGTACAAGTTATTTGAGATACATGTATTAAGAATATATTCTCCCAGGCTTGAACTTGCTTATTAATTTTGTTATAGATGCTTTTTGGGGAAAAAAATCATTTAAAATTTTTCAATGAAGACTTCTGTCAAATTTTTATGGCCCGTATCCACTAAACATTGATTTTTCAAAAACTCTTTCTCGCATAATTTTTCCTTTTTCACAGCATCTGATTCTTGTTTTAAGATCTTAAAACAAGATCTTTTTTTTTTAAATGTTTTTTTATTTGTAGACAATACCTTTATTTGACTTATTTACTTTTTAGTTGGTGCTGAGGATTGAACCCAGTGCCTCACACGTGCGAGGCAAGCATTCTACCACTAAGCCACAATCCCAGTCCCTTAAACAAGATCTTAATCTCAGCAACTCAGGAGGCTGAGTCAGGAGGATCACAAATTTGAGGCCAGCCTCATCAAATTAGTGAAACCCTGTCTCAAAAAAATAAAATTAAATTAAATTAAAAAATAACAAGGGGATGTAGCTCAGTGATTAAGCATCCCTGAGTTCAATCCCCAGTACAAAAAAAAAAAAAAAAAATCTTGAAACAAGAACTTGTTCTAAGATATTACTTCAAATCTCCCTGAAGAGTTAAATTAGGATATTTCCAGAGCTCTCCTTTGTCTCCTGGTCACATCTCTTGGTCCTTCTCTTTCCTAATGCCAGTTCCCTTGGATCTTCCACTTAGGGACGAACACTTGCTTAACTATTCCAGGTGACTGAGTTTTCTCCACGGGACTCTCTCCTCAGTAGAAAGGTTGACTAGCACTCTTTATCCAAGGCTGGTTTCCAGGTGTCCATTCTTGTGAGCTGTGGAAAGTTGGGGTGCTGGGAGTCCCCCCCAGGGCAGGAGCAATGAAGGAATTGCTTGGGAAGCCCCAACCTGCTCAGAAACCCTCCCACGCCAGTTGCCCTGCCTTTCTGGAGAAGTGGATTCTGGCTGTGGCCAGAGAGCCAGCCAGCTGCCACTTGCTCAGGGCCAGGGGAGGGGAGGGGACAGCTGCTCCAGCCAGGTGCTGGACCTGCCCCCTGAGCCCAGACCCCTGGGACTCTTCTCAGCCCGAAGGGTGCCTATTCTGGGATGCACTTCCTCCATGCCACCCACTCGTGCATTCTATAGCTTTCCGCCTTCCCCAAATTTGTGGAAGCCTCAGTCTGTGGCACCTCGCCCCTCTCTCCATCTACATTCTTTCTGTGCTTCTCCATGAGTCATTGAAGGGTGACAGATGGAAAGGGGACACTTCTCTGGACTCATTCTTCCCCTTGCACTGAGTGCTGACCTCTGTGCACAGGGCAGAACATCCAGGTTCTGATAGGCAGGAGAGGAGATTCTAACACCAGTCTCTAGGACCCACTTGCATGAAAATATACACCTGTGTTCATAGAAGAATGACAGGGCCTCTGGGTGATGGGATTCAAGTGATTTCTGTTTAAGAGCTTGGTGTGATGTGGTTTGCATGGTGACTAAGGCCTCAGGCAGGGAGTCCCTGGCGTTGGGTGTGTGCTAGATCTGGAGCTCTTCCCAGAGTGAACAGGGGCAGTCCATCTCTCTAAGAGCTGCGTCCTTGCCTTCATAGAGCTGTTCTGGACAAAGACTCCAAAGAGTGCAAGACCTGTAATAGAAAATGCCCAGCACACGAGGGCTATTGCTATCTTATTTAAGATTTAAAAAAAAAAAAAAAAGTGGTAAACATTGCAGATCATTGAGCTTTGAACAAATGCCTTTCCTGGACACCTTCCAAGCTGAGTTGGCTGTGCACGTCAATACTGCCAGAGAACTGGGCTGATCAACTCCTGGGGTTAATTCTAGGGGAAATTTTCATCCAGCTCTTGGTTACTTGGGAAAGAGAGAGAGAGAGAGAGAGAGAGAGAGAGAGAGAGAGAGAGAAGTTTCAAATTGTCTTATTTCTGTGAAGATTTCAATGAAACTAAAGAAAACACGTGGTCTGGGATAGCTCCGTGGTACAGAGCTTAGCATGCACAGACCCTGGGTTCCATTCCCAGCACCACAAATAAGAAGAAAAAACAGTGTAGACATCTTGTCCAAATGAGACCACACTCTGTCCATCTGTAGGTTTGGCTGCAGTGCACACGTAGATTCTGGCAGATTCCGTCTGTCTGCCATCTTATCACCAACAAATATGAAAATAGGGCCCCTTTCTCCTGCCTGGCTCCCCTCGTCCACAGCACCAAGAGTGAGGTAAGACTTGCTTACTTACTGAGACCTGAGGTTTCTAATGCAAATGTTGGTCATCCTGCAGTGAGACTGTCCTTCCCAGGAAGGGAAAATGAAAGCTGCCTGAGGGTTTGTTTGTTTATTTTTTAATATTTTTAGTTGTAAATGAAAATACCTTTTTTATTTTATTTTATTGGGGGGTTACAGGGGATTGAACTCAGTGGTACTTGGCTACAGAAACCACATCCCCATCCCTATTTTATATTTTATTTAGAGACAGGGTCTCACTGAGTTGCTTAGCACCTCACTGTGGCTGAGGCTGGCTTTGAACTTGTGAGCCTCCTGCCTCAGCCTCCTGAGCCGCTGGGATTACAGGCGTGTGCCACCGTGCCCAGCTCATTTTATTTATGTATTTATTTGGTGCTGAGGATGGAACCCAGTGTTTCACACCTGCTAGGCAAGCGCTCTACCACTGAGCCACAACCCCAGCCCCACCTGAGGGGTCTTCTAGTATCAGCTGTGACTTTGTCAAAGAAAGATTTACAATGCTAGCCTGTCATAAATCTTAGTTTTTCTAAGTATGGGACAAGAAGAATCTTCTTTCCTAGTTTGGAAATACACTGAGGGTTGTTAAAACAGAGAGAGGGGTTCCAGGACAGCAGAGGTTTGTGTTTTTTCAAAGAGGCCAGGTGAGGGGCACTGCCTCTAAACTGCTCCTTGCTCTCTGTGGGTTGTGATGAAACCCGCAACAACTTGCTTTTTGGAAATGAGATACTTCGGAACTCATTGTCACCAGAAAGGGCAGCGCAGTGGGACACGACTTTCTCCTTCCCTCAGCCAAGCTTTAACTTACGTGGCAATCTTTCTTTGGTTTCAGGTTTGCATTTCATTTGCTCTAAAAGCATCTTTCCTGACATTCAGCTCCCAGGATGCTCCAGCGTTTAAAAATGACATCCTAAACAAGGACAGCCCACAAAATAAATTTATAGAGGCAAGGAGCCCAATTTACAAACAGCCGGTCACTAAAATAAGCCTGTTGACACAAGTGGCTGGACTACTCAGCTACAACTGTAGCCCTTTTTGTTTTTTATTTTTTAAATATTTGAAAACATTATTTTAAAAAAGATTTTATTTATTTTTATGTGGTGCTGAGGATCCAACCCAGTGCCTCATATATGCGATGTATTCTACCACTGAGCCACAAACCCAGCCCCTTATTTTTTTTTATTTGGAGACAAGAGTCTCATGGGTTGCCGAGGCTGGCCTTGAATTTGCGATCCTCCTGTCTCAGCCTCCCAAGTCGCTAGGATTACAAGCGTGCACCACAGCACCCAGCCTTGGATGAACATTTTCTTAGAGGCAGAAGTTAATCCCCACAAGTCCAGCCTGGGGCTCTGGGGAGGTGGCACCGCAATGGGCACTGCCAGCCACGAGCGGGTCAGCACTTCACATGGTAGAGCTGTGCGTGGGGTCACGCATGTTGCTGTGCTCTGTTCTCCTGTGCAAGGGAGGAAGACACTGCCACCATGGGAAGTTCAGAGAAAGATGGTCAGGACAGGGAACCAGGTGAAAATCCTGCCACCTCAGGGGACAGACAGAAATGAGCCACTGCCATTTTTTATGAAATACAGGCAATATTGTTTCATTATTTCATTATGAAATACAGGCAATATTGTTTCATTAACCCCATTGTGATTTGTTTTCTCCTCTTTGACTCTTGCATTAGAAAGGAACAAAAGATTGATACATACAACCTGGAGGAAACTCCAGAGAATAATGCTAAATGAAAAAAGTTCACCTTGAAATGGCACATACCACCCAGTTCACTTATATGATGTTGTGGAAATCAGAATTTTAGAAACTCAGGGCAGACAAGTGGTTGGGGTTTAAGGGACCAGAACAGTGATGACTCCCTGGTGCATACATGACTAGAAGTGAGCTGGGGGCACCTGAATAGGACTGGCAGATAGATGTTCCCTGTCTTTGTCCTGGTCATGATATTGTACTGTGTCCCGCAAAACATCTCATCGCTTAGGTGAATCTGTAGTTTCCTCAATAACTGTATTTTTACATATTTCACATGCGTATGAGATTTGAATATCTAATAAAGAGTTTTTAAAGGCTTTAAATTTATGAATCAGAAAATATTATTTTTTAGCTGGGTGCAGTGCACACATCTGTAATCCCAGCGACTCGGGAGGCAGAGGCAGGAGGATCGCGAGTTTGAGAGCAGCCTCAGCAATTTAGTAAAACCCTGTCTCGAAATAAAAAATAATAAGGGTGGGGGGTGTAGCTCAATGGTAACACATCCCTGGTTTCAATCCCCAATAACAAAAATATATATATGTACATATGTAATTTTTATTTTGTAAAATTACTATGCACTAAGGATTATAAGAAGATATATTATTTTTTCTCACTATTCCCACTAAGGATTACTACTGATTGCCATTGTTAGTTAGCTCTATGGTTGTTTGATTTAAAAATATCATTTATGTGCCAGAGAGGTAAATGATACCAAACGGTACCTGTTTTCAAAGAAACACCTTTCTTTCGTGTTTTCTGTGTTTACAAATAAAATACAAAATAGTGCTGGTACGTGTGTGGAATGATCTATTATATCTTGTAGTCCTGTGGTTTCGGGGTCTGTCAGAGCTGTGTCTGGGTCCCCAGCCCTCTAACTTTCCTACGCAAGTTCTGGCAGGTGGCCTTGAGCCCAAGGGCCCAGGACCATGCTTTGCCAACAGAACAGAAGCCCAGCCTGGCTGACCCCTTGTTGCCTCTGTTTTCATCTTGCCCCTTTCTCTCAACAGGTAAAGCCCTGGA